TGTAGCCCCCAGGGGAGCTGTCTGCTGGCAGCTTACCCCCCCCCACAACCCCCGCCCAAACCTGAAGCCTGCAGTGGGACCCCACCTAGGGACTGTCTAGGAGAAACTCAGAGGGGAAAGAAGGATTTCTGTCTGTCTGTCTGTCTGTCTTCCCTGCACACTGGAACCACAGAGGGCTTTCTGGGCAGTACAGCACCTGGTGGAGCCCCATTGGGAGCCAGAGGGCTGCAGGGGGCGGGGGTTGCTTCATCCCCCAGGGTGCACCAGGCAGGGGCCTCAGGCTGCCAGCCCAGCAGGGACTGGTGTCTGGTGCATGGCGGGGCAGTCCTCCCAGGAACGCTGCCCACTGATCGGCAGGCCAGGGGCCAGATAGCAAATACTCCACATTTTTTGGCGGCTCAAGGGCCTGGTTGGAAACAGTCACCGTTTTATTCTGCAGAAACCACACGCTTTGCGTCCCAGTGCCCTGCAGGGAGTGGGGGTGGAGTCCAGCTGCCCCCGCCCAGGGGCTGGGCACCAGGGGGTGACAGGCCAGGTCCTGTTCACCACTGTCACCTCCGAGGCCAGGCTGGGTGCCGGCCTCCACCCCAGGGTGAATCCAGGGCCTCCTGCTTGGGTGCAGCCAGGACAATGGGAGATGAAGGACCCCAGGGGCCCCCAGGCCTCCCTTCATGAACCCAGAAAAGACCCAGACCCCCCAGCCCTGCCTCTGAGAGTCCCCAGCTGGTGAGGAGACAGACCGGGACCCAGGCAGTCGCTTCAGCTGAAGGTGTGAACAGAGCGAGATGGTCCGGACTGGCAGGGGCGGGCAGACCAGCTTCCAGGCCCTCTCACCTGGGGGCCACCTGGCCCACCCTGCACCTCCTGCGCACATTCTGTGCTCGCAGCTCGGCAAGGAAGATGGACGGGTGTGTGTTCGTACACTCTGCCATCCCTGTTCGAGAAGCCGCTCAGGTGGGTGGACAGGTGGGTTTGATAGACCGTTCTGGGGTCTGCGCACCCTCCTACTCACGCTCCCCTGGCCTGGGCAGCAGCTCCTCCCCTACGGGACTCCATCCCGAGGGCCTGCTCGGGGCCAAGCCCTTTGCATACACCAGCAAAGCTGTCCGGCAGTGGTTCCCAAGGGTGGGGAGGGACCTGCCAAGGTCACACGGTGAGGACACCCACAGTCACACGGCAAGGTCACCCAAGGTCATCCCACTACCGGGTGGTCCAGGGCACAGAAGAGCCCAAGAGAGCCACATTCTCACACCCCACCCTCGGCTGCCCCCAACAAGTGGACGCAAAGGGTCCAAAAGATGGACTTCTTTATGAAGACCGCTCTTCAGCCAGGATGGGCTCGGGGCTCACGCTCTGCTTCAGTTCATGGGCCCCAGGGGATGCCTGCCCATGGAGCCCCAGCCCCAGAAACACTGGCTCCTCCCGGCCCACCCACTCAGGCCCATGCAGGCGTTCCCCCCACCCCCAGCAGAGGCAGCCTGACAGCACCCCTGGGCCCCTGGCCCCTGCCTGCCTCCTCTGGTACCAGGAGGGACCCTGGAGAACCGAGCACCCACATGCGCACAACCGTGCACAACCGCCGTGGACAAAGGCGTCCACATTCGCCTTGGTAACAGCTCCGAGAGGCATTTTGCAAGGCCCCTCGGGGTCCCATGGGATGGAGCCCAGAGGCGGAAGCGGGTGGTGCCCAGGGCTCCCTGCTCCCTGCCTCATCCTTGGATCTCCTCTCCAAGGAACTATCTGCCCAGCAGCCCTTCTCAGGCTCTGCCCTGGGGACCCCGGGCTAAAGGCGTGACCCAGCACACAACTTCCCAGCCCGACAGCTCTGAGGTCACATGGCCAGCCACCTACCATCACCTGGGAGTGCAACTGGCCCCAAAGCCTGGCCAAGGCCCAGGGGGTCCCATCAAGGCTGCCAGCCACTCAGCCACCAGGTACTGCCTGACCCTGTTCCACCTGAATTGTTAATTGAAGTAAAAAAAAAATTACTTTATGTCGCTGCCAAAAATGAACTATCACAGCATCAAGGCACTGAGGCTAACTGAATTTTTAATGCAACGCTCAGTTAATGCAGACCCATCCCAGCCACACAGGGAAACGCCAAGTCTCAGTCTGTGCCTCTATAAAATGGGCCACGCGGCAGGCAAGATGCAGACCCACATGCATCACCCTGCTGCCTCCCTCCCCAGAGGACTTTGCAGGAAGGGCCTGGGGTGCCCACCACAGCCTTGCCAGGCCCTGGGCCCCGGAGCCCCAGGACGGATGTCATTTGGGAACCACCTGGGATGCAGCTGGCGGGGGCTAGACGGGGACAACAGCAGGCTTCCCAGGGGAGCTGCGGCCAGGAGCCCAAGCGGATGTGAGCGGGGAGGGGGCCAGATTCAAGTCCCACCTCCAGCTGCTGCCTCGGGAGACGCCTGAGCGTTGGCGCTTCTGTCTCCATCTGCACAAGGTCACAGGCCCTGGTACAGACAGCACCGTTACTGCAGTCCCCACAACCCCGACACCCGTCAGGGGCCTGGCCCCGGGACCAGGCGTCTTGGCTCCACTCCAGGGGAAGCAAAGCAGGTGGAGGAGAGCCTTCCACCCTGGAGCTTCAGCTCGGCTGGGAGCACCTGGCGTGAAAGGTGGGCCAGCCTGTGTTGTGTGTGACGTGGTGTTGGCAGCAGTGACAGGGAGGAGATAGAACTCGGTGCTGCTGGGGGTGGGGGGTGCGGGCGAAATGGGGGAAGGGGTTACAGAACGAGGAAGTCCGGGGATGAGGAGTACACAGCATAGAGAGCTCAGTCAGTGACGCTGGAGTAACAGAGAGAACGGTCCAATCCCTGCGTGGTGCACGTGGAACCCGCAGAACACCGTGTCAGCCATGCTTCACTACCAGAACCCCAGCTCAGCTCTGCAGCCAGCCACGCACGCAGGATGTGCCCAGGGAGGATCTGCTCAGGGGACCGGTCGGAGCCCAAGGGAAGGGGGAAGCTTCTTCCTCCTCTGACCTGGGGCATGCTGCCCTCCCTGGGGGCCCAGGTGGCAGCCGTTGCTGACCCAGTTCCACAGCGGCGGCTCTGGAGGCAGACCGTGTGCTGACACGGGGCACTCGCCGCACCAGCCAAGGCCCCAGCACTGCGCAGTGTCTCCGGCCTGGTTAGCCTGAAGCCAGGGAGGCAGGGCGGCCCCCCGGCCCCTGGCAGGACCCTACCTGCTGCCCCCTCCCCTGGTGAGCAAAATGTGCCCCCTCCTCTGCTTCTCTGCTCAGGATCCCCCCGAGGGTCAAGGGCACGCCAAGGGCACAGTGCCCTGTCCTTCGTTCCCATCCCCAGAAGGTGGGAGGTGCCCACGACAGGCCTCTCCCCAGAGGTGGCTGAGCCCGGCCCAGGCTGGAGTGCAGCACATGGGACACACCAGGGACAGCCACTCCCCAGCCAGGCACACCCACTTCGCAGACCGGGACACCTAGTCTGGGTGTGGAGTGGGAGCTGCTTTGAGCAAGGTGGAGAGGCACCTAGTCCACCGGCATCTGGCGGGACCCCCTGACGCAGGACAAGGACGGGTGTGACCAGGCGACTGCAGGTCTCCAGGCAGGTGCACCCGTGAAAGAGCCACCACCCCAGGGCTTTGTTCCTCTGCCAACATTGGGCCCAGACGCACAAAAAGGAGGGTATGCCAAGGGCGGGTGTGACGTGCTTCTGCACAGGGAGGCCGAAGACCCCGAGGTCTGTGCTGGGGTCCCTGTGAGCATCATATAGAATCCTTGCTGCATGCAGAGCTACCGTCCCCACCATGCAGATGCACACACGGAGGTAGAGAGGCCCGTGGCTCAAGGGCACAGGGCTTTTTCAAGAGCGCAAGGGACCAGCCCCCAGCCGACAGTGACTTCTCGGGCGCACCCAGGTGCGGCCCAGGGTGACAGGCCGGGAGGGGCCCAGGCAGGAGCAGAAATGCCAGGAATGCAGGGCAAAGCCGCAACAGAGCCTATGCGCCGCATAGGCCTGCAATCCAGAAACAATCCAGCCACAGACTGTAGGCTCCGCCGGGCAGCAGCCCCTTCCTGGCTGGGCGTGGATGCCACCCTGCCCGCCCCGGCTCCACCCAGCAGCACAGGACCTGGCCGGGGCGACAGACACACGCAAGTTCCCGCCACAGCCGCCAGCCCCCGTCCCCGGGGCTCTGGGCCCTCTTCCGGCACCGTCCCCTCCCCAGAAGCACAGGAAGGCTTCTCTGCTCCAGCGCCCTAACAGAAAAACAGGTCCTCCATCAGCCAGCTCAGGGCAAAGAAAAAAAAACAGGGGGGTACTCTCAGCATCTCAGGGAAACATAATACATAAATCACACGTTGTCCACCTACCATGAGACACGGTCTCCAGGGCCCAGTGTCGTGAGCAGCGCAGCCGCGAGACGCCCAGCACGGGGTCGGGGGGGGACTGGGAGGAGCCTCCACGGGGACCACCCATGGCCGAGCACGAGCCAGGGTACGTGGCCCCCTGCGCCCGCGAGCCCCTACGCCCCGCCTCCCATCGCACAAACTGCGGACCAAAAACCACACCGTGAAGATGTGCTGCTGAAGGAATGCCTTTATAAAAAACTCTCCCACGAACACGCGGACACCAGAGACGCTCGCTTTCGCTCCGGAGACCCCACAGGCACCAAGGGGATCGTGACAGTCACACGGCCTCTCCGCTCGGAGCAGGGAGAGCGGGTCACGGGAGACACAGGGCGGCCGGCCCTCACTGGCTCGGCCCGCGGATGCCGAAGTCAACTCACTTCCACATGAAGCCCATCGTCTGCTCGGCTGCTCAGCTGGGCGCGTGGCCTCCGTCTCCAAGAGGCCACACACCCGGGCAGTATGGCGCTGTTGGCCCATCAAGTTCCGGAATCCCAAGGGCAGGCCTCACCGCGCAGGCTCTCGTGATGGGGCGGCCCGGGGCACCGCCGAGCGACGGGCCCCGTGACAGGAGACAGGGTCTAGACTCAGTTACGCAACTAGAAAAATGTGACCACAAAGCACTTTTCACGTGTATGGGTTTTGTTGGTGGGTTTTTCTTTTTCCTTTTGGTTCAAAGAAAAAACATAGCAGGCTCTCAGGTATACAAAACTGGTAATATTAGATAAAAATACAAACTTCACCTTTACAAAACGAAAACAAAAACAACACACACACATTTCTGTTGAATACATGTAAAGCGTAACATCTTACCAAAAATAAAGAATTTAGATTCTGTCCAAACACTGGCACAGGGCCACCTCGCTGCGGCGAGAACTGGGAGCGGCAGGCCTGGGACGGACTCGATTGGTTCACGCATAGTTCTCTCGAAATGGCTTAAATTAAGAAGTAAGATAAAATGGGGCAGGGGAGAAACACGTAAAGCCAGAAACATTTAGGAAGTGATGCATAGGTGGATATACCATGTTTATTTTAATACATCTCATTTGTTTGCATCCTGCGAGGGGAAATACGGTCCCACTGTCCTGACTTACAGCAGCCTGGTGTTACCGGTGTAAATGTCATCCAAGAGATAATTAAAAAAAAAAAAAAAAAAAAAAGCTAGCCAAAGAGTAAAAAGGAAAGCTTAATAATCACTTTACGGTGTAAAAAAAAAAAAAAAAAAAAAAAAATCCACTTAAGGCTCTCGGGAAGGTTTCTGGATAGACTTAAACACTACAGCAAGGAGATGTGTTTCTAAGTCCCGTGGTGGTTCTGAGATACCCCTGCTCCCACGTGCCCTGCGGGGCCCTTCGGCCCCCGCCCGGAGTCCTCCAGAAAGCAGGCTGTGTCCCTGGCAGAAGCACCTGTGACCCTGGACAGAGATCCGGTCCGCCGAGGCACGTCGCTTCCATCCCACGGGGGTGTCCCTCCATTCCAACAACTGTTTAGGTATTTTCGTGAGTCCGTTTTGTTTGTCATGTTTTGTGGTTCTCTTTGCTCTCTCTCTCTCCCTCTCTCTTTTTGACAAGGAAGCTTCTTACTGTTTCACCGAGTGCTACAATACTTGCTTTAATGTCACATTAAACAAATGTGTACTGTCTCTTTGTTCTCCAGAGTGTGCACGGAGACGGTTTTTCACGGAGGAGAACAAAGACCGCACGCTGTCAATGAGCACCGTACATAGTAGGTTCAGGAATGTAACACGCCATGTACATCCGTGTCCCGGAAAAGGGCTGCTGGCTTATCCTCACCTCACATCTGCAAGGAGAGGGGAGAGAAACAGACACTGACGAGGGACCGAGCGTGCACGCTTAACAGGGACCACAGGGAGACACTTCACCCAGTCAGGGGACACGCTCACACACATGGGGACAAATCTCAGGATTTGAGGGGTTTGTGGCATTTTTCAAATCAAATATGCCTCAGTACCCTTTCTGTAACCTCCTGACCAGAACTGGGACTAGACTCTTGGGATCTCACAGAACATTCCTTAAAACAAGCCCCATTCTCCCATTGTACAGATGAGGGAAACTGAGGCCCAGATGGATATTTTTGTCCTTTTCCTCATGTTCCTCCTCCCCCTCCACCGCCAGCAGAGGGCCTGATGTGATTTCTGGAGCTCTGGCAGCCATCCTGGGCCGTGAGACAACCCTGAGGATGGATACCACCAGGCAGACAGGCGAGCGGATCTACACTGAGCTCTGAGCTAAGAGCAGCTCTTCCCATCCACATTACCTGTTCACTGCTTGTCCCAACACCTGTACTACCCACAAGCTAGCAGGGAGGCCACTTGCCTCTCACTTGGTGTCTCTGTCATCGGCTGGCCCATGGAGGCCAGAGCCCAATCAATGGTGTGCAGACTGGACGCACAAGCAGGCACAAAACCACCCCCAGAGCCACACCCTTGGGGAAAGCAAAAATCACAGGCAAGAAATTGTTTTGAGGCTGCTTCAGGAACCCACCCTAGTGGATCCTTTCCTCCCCAGAGGATTCTTATGAATGGACCAGACCCGCCAGCCTCAACACTGCTGACCTGGCAGCTTTCTGCAGTCACTGAACCAGCACCTGGACTCTGAGACACCATCTCCGAGAATTTTTCCTACAACCACCCGTTTGGGATGCCATGGGTTCACACATGGCCAGAGGCACGTGCTAGGCTCTCCAGAGCAGACACAGGTCAACAACAAGGAGCAGGAAGGCTGGAAACTGCCTCCATGATGACTGTGGTTGCCCAAATCCCATTTTCCTCTGGGAAGCAGTATGCCTCTCTACAAGACTACGCTGCCCAGGTCCTCTTGCAGCTGAAGGATGGCCAGGGTATCAGAGCAGAAGTCACTGGGTGGGACTTCTCTAAGAGGGTTCTTTTGCCCCTCTCCCAACATTACTCTTACAGCCTGGAGTGTAGATGTGATTTCTGGAGCTTCAGCAGCCATACCGAGCCATGAAGCAACTCTGAGGATAGACAGCCCCAGTCCCACATGGGAGAGGGTCCCTGATGATACCTGGAGGATGCCACACCTGCTCCTGAACGTCTACGGCATCTCAGCCCTTGCTGGTTTTGGTGTGTTACCAGAAGCCAGTTTTCAACACAGTAGCCAACAGCCCTACATGTCTATGAAACATTTTCAGATAAGATCCACGCAGTCTTCAATTCCCTTACCTATCATCCTGTAAGCCTCAGTCTTTCATCTGTCAAATGGGACGGGTAACCTGCCCAAGGTGATCCCAGCTAATAAACATCAGAGCTACCCCACTGCTGTTCAGGAACCCAAATCACTCCAGTCCTGTGACGTCGGGGCCTCCCCAATCAACGCAAGAGACCCAAGCCAGAGCGGGGACTCCGGAGCAGCAGGGGACATGAGCGAGCAGACCCACAGCCCAGCCAGACACCGGAAGCTTGCAGGCCGATCAGGGCCAATCAATCAGAACCGCGAGCTCGCCGCCACGGGAGGGATTCGCCGTGTGATCAGCCGGTGCACCTCCCACCCACAGGACCGAGGCACATCCGCACACAGCTCCTACCTGGTTGGCTGCATTAGGTGGGTTTTAACCTTTTTCTTTTCCGTTTTTTACCTGACTCCCTACGCCTTCCTGTTAACAGAAGGGCAGGGAGGGTGAGCGGGCCTAAGGGTTAGGGCTGTGGACCTGAGGCAATAAATAGCTGAGGTGTTTGTCTTTCTGGAAGAAAACTCAATCAGCTTTGGCACAGAGACACTTCCTGGTGCCCTTGAGCCGGCCCGACACAGCGGGTCACAACGCCACACTGCCTCGGGGCGAAGTCTGCCCGGGACAAGGGGGAGGCCGAGAGGCCCCCAGGCGCCGCCTACTCGGGGTCGGGCCTCCCTCGGCCTCACGGCTCCCAGGCACCCGATGCCCCAACCAGGGTGGGGACGTCCAGCGTCCCCCAGCAGGCCGCCTGGGCTCGCGTGCCGGGCTGGTGGCAGCACCGGACCCTACCGCCCGCCGAGCCCTGCCTCGGCATGGAAGCCAGGCCCCGAGGACTCCCCGTGAAGTGAGCTGAGGGCGAGGGCGAGGAGCAGGACAGCGGCCGAGGCGGGGCTTACCCGTCTCCTCCTCCCGGTGGTCCGGGTTCAGACCGCTGGCTGTGCATGTGCATTCCAGATGCTCCTCCAGCCGCACCTGCACTTCTTTTAACTTTGGCTTCTTCCTGATGTACTCCACCTTGGCCACCTGCCCGAGACAACAGCCCCGCCGTAAACACCTCGGCCACGCCTCGCACGCGTCAGTGGGAAGGGGGTACGTGCTCGGCCCCACCCAGGCCAGGAGGGCAACGCCCGCAGGCCGACCTCTGACCTCCAACCTCTGACCTCCTCCCCGCAGAGAGGCAGGAGCGCCAGGTGGGAAAGTAAGCTTCAGCATTTGTGGTTTGGCCCATGTTAACTGGAACCCGAAGGCTCGTTCGCGTGAGCGGGGAGGAGGCCTGCACGAGGCGCTCGAGGTAAGAGCTCTGAGCAGGGCAGGGGACGGAAGGTGTTCGCTCCCAGGTCTTAGGGGCATCTGGGGCAACAAAACCTCCAAACGGGTGCCTGGGTGGCTCAGTCGTTAAGCGTCTGCCTTCGGCTCAGGTCATGATCCCAGGGTCCTGGGATCGAGCCCCGCATCGGGCTCCCTGCTCAGCCCCGCATCGAGCCCCGCATCGGGCTCCCTGCTCCGCGGGAGGCCTGCTTCTCCCTCTCCCACTCCCCCTGCTTGTGTTCCCTCTCTCGCTGTCTCTGTCAAATAAATAAATAAAATCTTTAAAGAAAACAAAACAAAACAAAACAAAACCTCCAAACGCACGCTTGATTAGTAAAGGGACAAAAACCCACGGCCACGGAAAGGGGCTGCTGCACGTGGCGTGTGGCCCCGGCCTCAGCCTCCCTCCCGCCCGTCCTGCTGAGGCCCCAGGAGGAAGGAGCGCAGCCCCAAGGGCCCACAAGAAGGTTGTCAGGGTCTGGACCTGGATTCTGGTCTGTGGACCACAGATTAGGACCCCATAGAGATGGAGCCACCTCACGGCCTCAGTCCCAGGCTGGAGGCCTTCCCGGGGACCCCGGCTACAGCTGACCTTGGCCTAGGGAACCCCAGCCTTCTCAGAAACATGGGCAGGGACCCCAGCGTGTCGTCCCAGGAGGCCAAGGTGGGGAGGGTGTAGAACTGAGCCAGTGGTTCCTCCAACTGGGCCTCCTCCTTTGTCAGCCCAAATTACCTGGGCACAGAACCACAGCATGGCAGACCTGCCTCTGCACCTCCCCCAGGATCTGTCGGGAGGAAATGGCCGGATCCAGCCCGTGGGCACAAGCCCAGGCAGCCTAGAAATCAAGCTCCTATGGACCCCAGCTCAGGCCTGGGGAAGCCGGCTCATTGTGTCATGGGAACGCCACTCCACACTCCACACATACACATATGTGCACACGCGGTGCACACACATGTCCTGTCCTGCAAACCACACACACACACACAGCAGTGCATGCACACGCCCTGTCGTGGGAACACAGCTCCACGCACGCACATATACGCACACACCTGGCATCCACGGTGGCCTCACTTCATCCCAGCTCACGAAGGACATACAGAACACTAGAAGCATTCCTCCCAGACTCTCTCTGCAGCCCCAGTGGGCTCCCCCCACGAGTGCCCAGGCCTGAGCTCAGTCCCCAGCGGGGGGCGGGACCCCCATCTTCCCACTTGCCCTGGACCCCACAGATCTGGGCACACGGCAGATGCTCCCATCTGTGCCAACACTGGGGTGCGGTCCTGGAAAACGGCCCCCAGGGATATCCATTCCACCCCATTTGCCAGGGGAAACTGAGGCAGAAAGGGAGCAGGGTCCACCCAGGTCACACCCTAAGCGTGTGGAGGCATCAGGGAGTTGGCAGGGGTGAGGGGATCCCTGGTGGAGAGCAGAAGCCCCCAGCCTGGGGACAGTGGGGAGGGGAGGTGGTAAGAGGGGGAGTTCCTATGCAGAGGCCTGGAGTCCAGAAGCCAGAGGACCCCAGGCGAGTGGGACCGGCCACCCCACAGGTGAGCTGGCCCCAAGGCTTGCCCAGACCCGTCCGTAGCCACTGGGCTGCATTAATGGTTAACCCGCAGTGCAGAGGGTGCTGGGTGCCCGGCGGCCGCGGGAAGTGGGATGCGGCCTCAGGTGTGAAGGTGGACAGCCAGGTGTGAGCTCAGAGGTGGGGTGGGAGCCAGGCCAAGTTTGGGGCCAGGCCTGGGAGGTTTCCTAAGGAGAGAAGAGGTAGAGGAAAGGACCTCAGGCATGAGCAGCCCCAGCAGGCACCTACCACTCCAGGAGGCCAGGACCACAGAGAGTGAGAGAGAAAAAGAGAGAGAGAGATTGATCCTTGGGACATGGGGGCAGAGAGCCTCCACTTTCCCCTCTATAAAATGGGAACAAAGATCGTGGCCCCCAGGGTTTCACATGTATGGAAGCACTCGGAACTTTGCCACTGGGCTACCTTGCGGAGCAAGCAACCCCTGGTACCGGCATGTTGAGCTTACCAAAACCAGCCCCCAGGCCCAGAGTGAACCTCCCCTCGAGGGCACTGGGTAGGGTGCACCTCAGCAGGCCTCCCAAGAGGACCCCGGCCTGAGCCTGGCCACCGTGCCAGCCCTCCACATCAGGAGCTCCAGGCCCGCCTCAGCCCCCTCTCCCGGCCCAGGCCCAGGGTCGAAGCAGGTAGGTCCGAGGCCACGGCCCCCAGTTCTAAGCATTCATGCGCCCCCACACAAGTTCTAAGCATTCATGCGCCCCCACACACGGCTTCCCTCCGCCACTGGACTCTGCTGGGGGACACAGGGAGGCTGGGGGCAGGCAGCAAGGCACAGGTGAGCTGGCCCCTCTGCTCAGCAAGTACCTCACCTAGTTCCTCTAGGGGAGCAGGTACTAGGACCCCAGGCTCTGGGTGCAGGGGGCCAGGCTAGTTTTCCACTGAAGACAGACCAGCCACGGTGGGGAAGGCAGACACTCCAGAAACCCACCCCCGCCACGGTCCCCTTGGCAAAGCACTCCTAACACCGGCCACTCCAGTCTGGGAACCCACTTTCTCCTCAGACAGGCTGTTTTTATCAAAGAAAAACAAACAGCGATTTATGATTGCACCTGCTTCTGGGTATGTGAGGATTCCAAGCTGTTCCACCACCTCTGTCTGGCCAGGAAATAGCTGCATTTTTCCCCCAAGAACACACTGAATATTAACTTCTCAAAGCAGTCTCCACACTAACCAAGTCCCCAGAACAAGATGTTTACCTCTTTGGGACCCTCATTCCCATCACCTCAGCCCCCAGATCCATCCTGGAGCCCAAACAGGGTCCCCACACCCCTCCCTTCCTCCTCCCTTTGTTTGTGTCCAGGCGTCTGAGCTGCACCCTATAAAGAGGACATTCACCTTCCCACCGTGAGTCTGCCTGGCAGGAACCACCCCACCTGCACGCTTCCAGGGCAAAGCCAACCGAGCATGCGATCCAGTATTGCCGTCACCCCTTCTAAACAAGGGACACCAAGCACAGAATCCCTGAGCTCCTGCTACTCATGGTGTCCGGGGCTGGGCCGGGTAGAGCAACGCCCTGCTGGGGACCTCACCCCCTCCTCCCCAGGTTATGGCCTGACCACTGCAGGGTCGAGGGCAGGGCACCGTCCACGACAAACATCAGCATTTACTGAACCCCACGTGCTGGTCACTGCAACACTCAAAGCTATCCTGTGAGGGTGCAATTATGGTTCGTTTTACGGATGGGTGAACTGAGGCAGCTCAGAGGGGAGACCCACACTGCCAGAGCCACTGATTTTCCCCAAGGTCCCTGAGCTGGATCTCATACTCCATCAGGGCGCAGAGGCCCATCCCGGGCACCCCAGCAGACACACCCAGACCCACCTTCCAGAAGCCTGAGGTCTAGCGACACACGGCCACTACCAGCCATCACGGCTGCGGCCAAGGACCTGGGTCTCTCCCTAGAGACTTAGGGGCCTAACCAAGTTAACGGACTTGGCTATAAACCCACAGGATGCCCTGAAGAAAAGGGGAGCCCCCAACTTTCAACACCACACAGCGAGAGACAGGAGGTTTGCCCCACAGCCCCAACCAGTGCGACCCGACCAGAGTCACGGGCTCCGCTGTCTACACCACCCCTTCTGCTAGCCCTTGAGCCTTGGGTCTAGGGGACAGGGTCAGATGCCTGCAGGGTATGGGGTCACCGCTCACTGGGGAGAGGAGCTCATTCATCTGGGACACCAATCAGGGAGCATGCTTGGCCCCCCAAATGCAGATCCCAAACGCTGAGCACAGCGAGCTGATACAGGGATGTCACCCCAGCCCGGACCACGTACCCACCCCCTCCCCGAGATCTAATGGCGGCTACCCCCTGCAACCCCGGGGGGACCACCCTGAAGGTAGGTCCCAGAAGACACATGAGGGCCCAGCCCCAGGGAGTGAAGGACCCATACCTGAGACCATCAGAGTTGGAGGCACAAGACGCCTCAGGCCACCCTCCCTGGCGGTCACGGAACAGAGCTGGCCATCCACCCCAGCAAGTCCTGACAGTCAGGGCCCGGGGGCCTTCAGCTGAGCACACCAGAAAATCCACCGTCTGGGCCTCATGGGGTGGCCGTTCCCAGCCTTACCTTACCTTCTCCCGTAAGCGACCTTTAACTGTGATCAAAAGGCCATAAACCAGAAAACCAAGCACATGTCAGCCCAGGGCAAGACCTCCCGCCTGCCCAGCCACACGGGGCCCCTGCCGGCCCCAGCACCCCTCCCAGAGGCTCGGCCAAGGACTCAGCCCCGATGGAGCGCGGACAGCCTCCTGGGCAGGCGTGGGGGCCAGGCCGGCCTCCACAATGGACCTCCTGTTCCCGCTGACCTTTAGTCCCTTCTCGGCCAAAACCCCCAGTGTCTGGGCCGGATGTTTTCCTGCCAATGCTCTGATGGGTGGGCAGGGAGAAGGGGCTGCCTTCCCTGAGGGAGAAGAAGGAAGGAGTCTGAGAAGAGCAGGGCGCCGGACATGAAACCAGGCCACTGGGCTCCAGCTGCAGGACTCAGGCCCTCCGTCCCCTCGGGTGGACCATGACCCCATCTGCGCAGACGAAGGCCTGTGGGGGGAGCCCTGGCCCAGCGCCACCATCTGCTGAGACCTTTGGGCCTGTGCCCAAGGCAGATATGGGCCCCTCCCAGGAAGGGGCCCCTGGGCCCCCACCCACCCACTCAGGGTGGGCCAGGAAGAGGGGATCACGGCCCATCCCAGGACCAGACACGGGGAGCCCCGCTTCATCCCGGCACTGCTTTACCTCTGAGAGCCTAAGTGGACACCCGCAGGACAGGCCCTATGCCCAGCGTCCACGTGTGGGACTGTCACCTAGAACACTACCACCCCCACGCCCAGGAAGAAAAGATCTCAGGTGTCTGGATTCTCGGGGCTCATGAGACTCTCTCACAACATACTGTAAGTGAGGACACGGGGACCTGAGGGGAGCAGGCCAGGGTCCCACAGCAGGCTGCAGGGGAGAAGTCGCAGTGCGGGAATGCACAGCCCCGTCCCTTTGGGCCTCTGTTTCCCCCTTAACAAAGGGTGCAGAGCTGGGCTCCGTGCCCAGCCGGGGCCCCCGGCAGCGTGGAGTCGGGAGGCCTCAGTCAGGCCCGAAGGCCCGGCCAAGACAAGAGCCAGCGCCCCAGGGAAGTGCACCAGGGCGCTGGGAGCCTGGGCGTCAGGGGAGTGTCCGCCGTGGAGAGCACAGAGCAGCAAGCCGTGGAATTTGCTTACTCAATGCCCCAAGTGCTCGAGGACCAAGTCCCCGGAGGTTAGGGGGAGCCCCAGTTACAGGCCTAACATGCCTTCTCACGTGACAAGCAAGTGTCCCAGCCAGCTACATGGTCTGTAAGTGAGAAAGTCTCCCCTGCACTTCACTCTGGGGCCAGGGGCCGACATCCAGGGGCCCTGAAGAAGGGCACACGGGATCTGAAAGGATCTCCAGTCGAGGAATGGCTTCTGACACACCCCCAGAATCTTCATTCCAGGAAAAATGGACGCACTTGCTGCTAGAGGCTCAGCTGAGTGGGCAGCCCATCTCCACTCGATAGGTGTCCCGCTGCCCAAATCCACAGCCCAGGGTTACGTGGGACCATAACCCGCCCAGAGCCAGCTTCCAGGGAGGGCAGCCCCCTGCCCTAGACCGGGAGCACCCGGGACGCTCCAGCCTAGCCACACTTCAGAGAAGCCAAGACACTCTGGATGCCTCCCTTCCCACTCTATCCTTTTGGAAGCAGGAAGACGGCACCCAGACAGGGGCTGAGCACACAGAAGCAGAACAGCTCCCCTCCACAAAGGGGCCCGGCTGCCCTGGGACCCACTTGGGACCTGCACAGCCCTAGACACCAAGTCACTGTGTTTCAGACCCATTTCACAGATGGGATACGTGAGGCTAGAGGACAGCAGACCCATGCCCTAGGAACTCCTCCAGCCACTGGGCCAAAACACCAACATTTGGCCAAGACCCCAGAGTGTGGCAGCCCAGAATGACCCAAAGAAGCAGATTTTCCCCAAGGACTAAGGCGGGAAGAACAAGGAGCCCCCACACGTGTAAACTGAACATGACCTTCCTATGCCCCCAGCACTGCCCTGGAAGTCACCAGGGCCAGCGCCCTGCCCCGGAGAGGGCTTTGGGCCAAGTGCCTAGCTGCGTGCTGGCTCCCAGGGAATGCAGGAGCGCGGCAAAGACAGCCAACCCGGCACCAATCCTGAGGGTCTCCAAGCAGAGCATGGCTTCCCAGGACGAAAGGAGGGGCTGGCTTTGCAGTCCCAGCCCCCAGGACCAAGGCACCGCCAGGAGGGCCCTCCGGAGGAGTCCCTGGACACATAGCCCACAGCAGAACGGGGTGCCCTCCCTGACTTATAGACAAGGGACGGAGGCCCAACATGGCAGGCCCTGCGCCCACACCAGCTCTCCTGGCCTGTTTCCCATGTGCTTCTGGGGAGAGGCTCTGAGAGGACCCCTGACCCCTCTTGCCATGCACCACAGCCCCCGCTCAAGTGCCTGCAAGAACTCTCCGGGGTTTGGGGGAGACAGCAGGCAGCACGCACACAACCCGTGAGATCCTTCTGCGTTGTCGCTTCGTGGGGGAGGCTGCGTGCAGTGGCGGCGGGGGGGACCAGAAGCCCACCCCCCAGCAGCCGGCCCAGCCCCATGTCCCGGCTCTACCACCAGCCTGCTCTGCACCCGGGCCTCGTGCGTCGTCGGCCACATCAGCCCCGGGGCACCCCGGGGTGGGGCCCAGGGGGCTCACCTTGACGCTGCGGTGATGAACGCGGGAAGGCTGACACTTGACGCTGCTGGTGTTGCAACAGCCCGCACAGCGCTTCACCTCCACGCACGGCGGCCAAATCAGGAAGTTGGCAGACGTGGGGTCGACCTGGCTCCGAGGTATCTCATAAATGACCGTCCTGGTCTTGCAGACCGCAGGGATGGCTTCCTCTGCAGAGCAAGAGCCAAGGTGAACGCACGGGCCGTCCCAGCAGCACCCAGGCCCACCCTGGGGCCTCAAGCCCTAAAGGGGGCGTGTCCCCCCGCGGCTGCCGCTTCGTCCCTGTGGCACATCGCACCACCCCAGGGCCCAGCAGAGATGGAGAGACACCCAGGCCCCCGACTCGGTGCATTTGGCCTAGCCCAAGGAGGAGCAGAAGTGAGGGCCAGGCAGGGAGGCCCCAAGGCAAGAGGGCAACAGGCCCCACAGCCAGTGGACGCATCAGGGCCCAGCGCCACCAGCTGCCACAGCCCCCAGGCCAGGCCCAGGAAGGGAGGACACCCGAGACGGGCAGCAGATGCAGGATGCGGGACGCAGGACTCAGGCCTGCCTCCCCAGCCCACTGGCCGCAGACCTGCTCACTAAAGGCCACCAAGAGAGCACCCCACCAGCTGGGAGGCCGCCCTCCCAGGAGGGACTGGCTCTACCTTCCACTCTGTGCTCCTCAGCACAGGCCGATCCATCCGACCCGAAGCCCCGAAATGCAGTGGATGCCAGGGCACCACTGCCCGATGAGAAATCCACCTGGGGACCCCAGCACATGCACCTTCCTCCCCACATGCTGCCTTACTAATCCACGCCGGCCCCTAGGCCCACTGGGTCTTGAGTAATGCGGGGCCGGGCAGGCAGGCCCCCAGAGCCCAGAACTGGAGGGAGACACTCCTGGCCGCAGAGGGGCTGGCACGACCCCCGTGGCCAGCACCAGGCAGGGCCCCGTCCTCTGCAGACAAGCAGAAGGGCCTGAAATGCAATCGAAGGACAACAGAGGCCTTGCCCCAGCGCCAGGGAGGGGTGCCAGCCTCTCTCTTGCCCATCCCCCCACAGGGGCCAGAAGACCTCCTGAGAGCCCTGGGAGACTGGGGGTACTTGCATCCTCCCCGGCGGCCTGGGAGCACCTGGAGAGGGGGCGCGAGGGGTCTCCCAGAGCAGGCCTGCCAACAAGGAAGGCCAGGTGCTGGAGATGTGGCCACTCCGGTGCAGGAAAGGGCTCTGCTCATGGCAAGCAGCCCAGGGCCCACTGGCTGTGAGGGGCCTGGGGACCCTGGCCAGGCGGGGCCGAGGGTGGAGCCAGAGAGACAGTCCAGGGCTCCCCATCTGGAACAGGACAGGCCTGCTGAAGCGCCCTCACCTCTGACACTGGTCTGCAGAACAGGAAATCTACAACCTACAATAAACGTCATCTGGGTGGGCCCACCTGCCTTCAGGAGGACTCCTCACCCACACACCATGCTGAGGCAAGAAGCTACGAAATCTACCTTCTGGGAGGAATTTAAAGCTCAGAGGCGGCAGTCACTGCCCAAGGGCACGGAGCAGGGAAGAGCAGCGTGGGGGGCGCACACCCAGGCAGTGAGGAAAAGCAGGAGGAACCCCCAGGGTGGCACCGGACTCGGGGGGGTCATACCCCCGAGCCCCACTCCCAGGGCAGGAAAGTGCAGGCCAAGATCTCTCTCAGAGCTGAGCCAGAGCCCCGGAAACCCCTTGCAGCGTCAAGGGGCCAGACAGACATGGGGATACTCTGCTAGAGGACAGGATGCAAACACCCCGCAAACCCACGCCCGGTGAGTGGGGTGGGGGCCATGGGCAGGGGCGTCTGCTGGAGGCCCATTCCGTGGCTGCCAGCCAGGCCACCACACTACAGATTGGAAAGGAAACACGACCACGTTTGCAGCGAGGCCTCCTCCAGAACAGGCCCCAACAAGACCGGGCACTTAAGGAATTTATGATGGCTCTCCTCTCCTGGAAACTCTTGGCCCAGGCCAGGCTGCAGCAAGCAGCAAGCAGCAGACGGGCCGGGGCAGGGAGGCGCCCCCGGCAGAGGAGGGAGGCCTCCAGAGAGACGGCAGGCGGCCGGGGCTGAAGCCGCTGGGGCCCCTGGGCCTTTGTTTTACGGAGGGGCGAAGGGATGACTCCCCTGAAGGCCCAGTGGGCGAGAGCCCCCCAGCTCCCCCAGAGTCCCCAGCCCCAGCGCCCCCTCCCCACCCGGCAGACCCAGGGCTCACCAATGCTTCTTTTCCTCCGGATGGGCACGGGCGGCTCCTCAGGTGCATGCTTGGTGGCATGGCCCCCGTGGGCTCTCAGACTTGCTTCCAAAGCATCCTCGGCCCCTACAGATAGAAAGAGGAAATGGTGACCAGCCGGTCCACATCTGTGGGGCACCCCGGGGCCTGTCCAGCGGCGCTCCCTACCTGCCTCCCCCAGACAGACAGGGTCCCCGGGGGGACCCGCCCCTCCCACGTATGCAGAGGATGAAAGACTCCCAACTGCCAAAAATCACCCACCGACCTCTGGGAAGCCTACACAGAGGTCCCCCAAATGTGGCACCCCTGCTGCGCTCTGCAGCAGAGCTACGGACCTGTGCAATCGGCGCGGAAGGGGCAGATGATCTCCCCAGGTGAGGGCTGGCCTTCCTCCTCCGTAATACCCAGAACTACCAGGCCAGCTGCTCCCAGGCAGGCCCACCTCCTCGGAAGGGACCCGGGGACAGGGCCCCTCCAACGGCACCGAAGGAGAAGCGCATGCGCTGCCATGACTTCCCTGCTGAGCGCGTGTCTTTTTCTCCCTCTTCTTACTAAACCAGCTCTGCGCCGACAGCTGAACTCTGCTTGCTCCTGAAGTTAGTCCACTCGGAGGCCACAGGAAATGCAAGTGGGGAAAGTAAAGGGACAGGAACCCTGGTGCCCGGCAGAGGGGGCGGGCTGGCAGAAGCAAAGTGTGCTGCCCCTCAGACGCAGACCCACAGTCCCAGGGTTAAAATCAGAACTGGACCCTACTCCCCCAGGCCTGCAACGGCACCTGGTACACACACCACCACCCTTGCCCGCCCCAGTGCCCCTGGGCAGCCTAGGGGAGTCCCAGGTCTCTCAGATTCCTACAAGGGAAATGTGGGGTGGGAGGGACACAGAGTCCTGCCACCTGCCCCTGGACCCGGCCTGCCCCGGTGACACTGCCTGCCCCTGGATGAGGTGGGTCACCCCTGGCCTGCCCGCCTTGGCCCCCAGACCCAGCTGGGGGAGGTCTCTTTCTACTTCCCCCTCCGTCCCTGGCTCCCCAGTGGATGAACAGGGGCACCGGGTCCTGAGAAGCAGGCCCCCACAGCTGTGCAGACCTCCCCCGTGTGCTGCTGTCCCTTCCCTGACAAGCTCAAGCGGCGTCCTGGCCAGCAGCCCGGACCACAGGCCCCCTCCTGCGTGCCCGGCCCACCGGGGCCTCAGCGACTGTCCACAAACCAACAAATCCAAAACCGCTGCTCACTTAAAATGAAAACCGACAACCAGGCAAAAGGTACAAACAGCAGAAGATGCGCCCTTTCCGAAAACTAGAGTCTGGGAAGAACCCAGCTTCTCACTTAAAATGACTCAATGTTCCACTGCCACTAATTTTTTTGAGACCCAAAATAAGATCAGAACACGACTATTCATGCAATAAGAATTTCCCATCAACCAACTGTTACAAGAAGCATTTTTTCACGAAAAAGTGACATTTATGAGTCACGTCCTGGTGGAAGCCATCTTGCCACCCTCAAACCAAAGACCTGCTGGCCCATCCTCGGCCCCCAGGAGACAACGCCCCATCGGCCACCATCTTCCCGGCCTCCCGAGAGCCAGGCATGAACCGCTCCGCGGGTGCCTCGATGCCAACGCGTCTGCAGGACCTGACGCGGATGACGAGCAAGGACATGACTGCAGGAGCCGCCGGGAGCCCCGTCCTGGTCGCTCGCCTGGACGGACAGAGAAGGCCACAGGCCGGCCAGCTGATGGCCAGCGCTGGAATCTGAACCGGCGGGCGGACTGCTTTCAAGATGAGAGCCCTCCTCTGCCCCCTGATCAAGATGGGTGGTCGCCGTCCACGCTGATGGGGGGCAGCCTGCAGCCTGACACTGCTTGAGAAATGACCCAGCAGTGACTTAGGAGAGAAGGCCCCGCCTGAATGAGGTCCTAAAGCTGCTCTCAGGACAGCTAATCAAGGGGGTTTCCCTTTTGTCTTGCACGCACAAATGCCCAAGTGACAGCTCAGGATGGGGACAAGTCCTCCAGCCTTCAGTCCTGGTGGAGCCTTAATGGCCCAAGCAAGATGGGGACATTCACGCATCTGTTACTCAGTGACCCCACCGCCCGGGCACCAGACCAGGCTGCTTGGAGAACAAAGCTCCCCCCTGGCCGCCTCACCGCTGAATGGCTGGTTTCTCACCACACTCGACGCACAGGTCCCAAACTCCAGCCACTGGCCATTCAAAGACCACACGCTGGTCTCTGCACCCAAAAGCCCCACGTGGAAAGCCGGCTACCCCTGAGCTCCACGCACACCCTGGGGATTCTCAGACTCAGTGCTGTCCTCACTGCTGCTGTCCTCACCACCTCCAGCTTCATCTGTAAAATGGGGACGCAGCCGCCCACTGTCCCAACCAGGGTCCCATCCAGAGTCCATCACAAAGCCCTGCCAGGGAGGAGAGGGCCTGTAAGAAAAAAGCCTTTTCTGCTTCCCGGGCCGGATTAGCTCTACACCCAAAACACCAACCTGAAGGGGCTGGTTCACCCTTGGAGTTACAAAGAGGGATTCAGGACTACCAAATGGGTTTCTCCACACCCCAGCTCCTTCCTCAGGGATCCCAGGCAGGCCTCCAACTGGACCTCACGGGGGTCCAGGGCCTGGAGAGCAGCTCAGTCCTCAGATAATTGGCCCCTCAGCTGTTTACGACCTTCCACAGTTGCAAGATCTGTCTCAACCCTTCACTTTGGGCGGGAACAGGTGTTGGGAGGAAGAGGAGAACGTGAGCTCTAGGAGCACCAGCGGCAGTTTCTGTGCTCAGAGACCAGCACTGCCCTGGCTCGCAGCTTCCCCCGTGAGAGGGCACCAGGCCAGGACGGAGACCCCACTGTGGGATCGGTGGCACACAGGGCCTCCTAGGGGGAAAGCCAGTGAGCAAAGAAGATCCTAGAAACCCCCCTCTTCTCACTCCAGTTTCCCAGGCCGGAGGAGTTCTACCCCAGAATCCTAATCAGACCCCAAGCCATGTGACAGAAGGTGGAAGGCAGGGGCGGGGGGTGGGGGTGGGGGGGCAGGAGGGGTACGAGCACCCAGGGCTTTTTACAAGGGGGCAATTTGAAACCAGCCAGGGAACTAGCGGGTGCATCCTGCTTTTTCGGTTTGGACCCTCCCAGAGAGGCTCTGGGCCCAAAAGCCCCCAGGTCAGGAATGCCATCAGCATAACCCACCAAGCTGCAATGCAAAAAGTGTTAATGGGTGGGGGGTGGGGGCGGGGCTGCAGAGACCAGAATAAGAATGGTCCCAACGGAAAGTGAATGGCCCATTTCCCGGTGGCATCCCAAAGCCGTCTCACAGGGAGGCCCAGCCCTGCACCAACCTCGCTCCACCAAGCCAAAAAAAAAAAAAAAAAAGCCCTGAATCTTCTCAGGGAGGCGACCTCCCCACTTTCACAGATCTGCCAGGGACCAGCAGAATGTAGGCGAGTGTTTTCCTCAGCTAACCAAAGCCAAACCCTTCTCCCCAGGGTTACACATCAAGGAACCAGACCAAAATCCCCCCTGGCCCAACTCTGATCTCCAAGTGAAATTCTACCCCCTTCCTGATAAGGATCAGCCAAAGGATTTCCTGGGTCACGAAACTACAGAAACCATCGGCCTTGCTAGCAAATGGTCTTGGCATGAAATGAAAATAGTTCAGGCCTCTACACCACCATAATTAGGTACAAATTTCCAAATGACTAGACCATGTGATTTTACTTAATTCTCCCCCCGCCCCCACTTTGAGGGTAGTCTGCAGCGAGAGTGAAATCTTCACTGAAAATTGTTCCAACCAACCTCTACCACCTTCAGCCTTCTGTCTGACAAGCCCATTTGGGGCCTCTTTTTTAACCATACGCTAATAAGACGTATTTCTGTAACTAACCCTCGCATGGGTGTTCCCCCACCAAGTATTAATTTGGACCAGGATACCGCAAAGATATGGGCCAGAATCCCTGCCCTCTAGGAAAAGGCTCCCTCCGGTCCACACCGCCGCCACCAAAACCACCAGCTCCCACCCCACCAGGGACAACAACCATGGGTCCCTGGCGACCTTTCCCCACCAGTCCCCTCCAACTCCGCAACCGACACCAACCAGCTTCAAAACTCGGCGTTTACAAATAAACTATTTTCTAAAGTGCCTAGGCTCCACGGCCCGAGGGTGAGCCCCAAAACAGTCCCCAGACACCAGATGTGTCCAAGATGCGCCTTTTTATTGGCCTGTGAAAAGAGAAAAGCACGGGTCTCCTGCAACCACAAAGGCTGGGCCGCCGCAGGAGTGGGGCACCGGCTCGCGGCGATGACAAAGCGGCCCCGGCCCGGGGGGCGGCTCCTCCCTCGCGCCTGCCCGCGGGGCGTGAGGCCAGGGCTCTGCGCCCAGGCCCCGGCCCGCTCCGCCGCTCCTCCCGGCCCCACAGGGCAGGCCCGGGGCCCGCACACCTGGCCCCAGCGCCGGCGCCCTCTACGCCGCTGAACTTTCTGTGACACGCGCGCGGCATTTTCCTTAAATGCAAAAACAATCCCCGGGCGAGCGAGCAGCTCGCGGCCGCCGCCGAGAGAGAAAGTGGGGATTGGAAGAGAAACTCCTGACTCATCCGCCTGGGCTTTTATGGCCCGGGATTGGATTCTGACCTTTCGGTGCGCTCCTGCGCGGCGCCCGGCCCGGCCCGAGCGCGGGAGGCGGCACGGGGCGCACACCCAGCACACCCGCCCCGCGCGCGGAGGGAAGGGGCGCGATTTACCTACGGAGTCTATCTCCAGGAGTCGCTGGAGGTCCCGGATGCTGTGGATCTGACTGTGTGCCAGCCTCTCAATCACCTCGCGGGGGATCTCGGCTTCCTGCAAGCAGAGCCACACGGTCAGCGCCCGCCGCCGGGCCAGCTCGCGTCTCGCGCCCCCCGCCCGCGAGAGCGGCCCGGTCCCCCAGCCGAGGTTGCCCGGCCCCGAGTCCCAGGCCCTCGCAGCTCGCGGGCCGCCCGGCCCCCGCCCGGGACCCTGGAGTCAGACGCCGAAGGGGGGGGAGGGGGACTGGGTGCGACCCCAAATTCTCGGCCCCCATCCAGGTCTGCCTTTGCAGAAAGCAACCCCTCCCACCTTTAAATTTTCAAACAAAAGCCCGGCACCGCGGCCCCTCCGCCCCGGGTGTCAGTTACAGGAGGTCTAGGGGCAGCGAGGGGCCCGAGGAGTTTGATTTAATAGTGAAATCGACATGCAGAAAGATCAAGTTGAAATGCGTCACGGATCGGCGACGAAAGTCACGGCAGCCTTAACACTTTAATCTAGCCAGGGGCTTAAATTTCACACCCCGGAATCCCGGGCCGAACCTGCGGGGTCAAGGGTCTCCGTCGCAAAAACACGCGCGCGCGCGCATTCACTCGTTCACACGCGCGCCCCACCCGCTCCGGCCCGGCCGCGGCCCTAGCACCGCCCAAGACGCTCCAAATCCAGCGGGCGGCTGGGAGAGGCTGCCCGGCAATGGGAGGGTTAAATCTCCACCTCTCGCAGCTCCCGATTCCTGCCCAGACCACCCCCACCTCGCGGGCTCCCCCCACTCCCTCCAGATTTTTAAAGGGAGTCGGGGGTCGCTGTGTGGGTGTGGGTGTGGGAGGAAGGGGTCTCAAGCACTAAGTTCCCACGACGGGGGCTGCAGAAAAGTCATTCATCACAGCAGAGCTCCCGGGGATTCGGGATTCGACATGGGGGGCGGGGGGGGGGACGCCGGCGGTGGGAGGACGCGGGCGCCTGGCCCGGCCCCGGCTTGTCTCGCTCAGCCACCTGTAAGCAGGCCCTGGGCGGGCGGGACTGCGCCGGCCCAGCCGCCCGGCCAGGCTCAGAGACAGGGACCGGTGGGGGGGGGGGGCTGCGGCCCCGCATCGCCCACCCTGCCTGCCGGGGGCTTCCGCCGCAGCCGCCCCTGTTTATCCGCCGCTCTTCTCCCCTCCCTGGTTCCGCCAGGTCACACACACCCCCTTCCGCGCTCCCCCCACCCCGATACTGCATTGTCCGCCGCGCCCCTGGCTCCCCTCCCTGGAGAGGAGCCCGCGCCCCCCGAAGTTTCTCCCCACTCGTCCACCCCGCGCCACTCCGTCCCTCCAAGGCAGAGCGACGCAACACGCTGGAAACTCACCAGACACACTTCAGCATGGCAGAAAATAAAACCCAGTTGGAAAAATCAAAAAATCGACCACCCTAGCAGAAATCTGCAGACCCCCAGAGCCCGAGGCGGCCCGGCCCGCGGGTGGTTGCAGGGGGCGTGCGCCGGGGGAGTCGGAGAGGGGACGGGGCGCGGGGGTGGCACCCACCTCGGCCAGGGCATGGGCGAGGTATCCGCAGCCGAGGAGTAGCAGGCAAGCCCAGGTCCTCATCGCGTCCCGAGGCGCTGGCGGCTCGGCGGGGAGGCGAGGCCGCGGGGCGGGCGCTCCAGCCGGGCTCCTGTGGCGGCGAAATTCAGTACCATCCCTCAGGGAGCGCGGCCCGGAGGAGGGTGGCGCGGAAAGCAGGGAGCCGGCGGAGCGCGCCCGGCGCGAGCAGCGAGTGCGGAGAGGCAGGCAGCGCCAGCAAGGAGGAGGAGCAGGGAGTGCGCGCTCGCCGCGCCCGCCGCGCCGGGAGCCTCCTGGGCCGCCGGGTAGGGGGTGGGGACGGAAGGGGCGGAGGGCGGGGGCTGGGCCTCTTCCTTGGTGCGTTCCCGGTGCTGGCCGCCGCCGTGCTCGCTCCCCGGCGCTGGCTTTAGGAGCGACCCGGCCGGTAATTCTGCATATTTGCGGGCGTCAGCCCCGAGAGGGACCCCGGAGCGAGGCTGGAGCCGCCGCCGCCGCACCACCCATCACCTGTCTGGACGCCCGGCCGGGCCCCGGCCGCGGGCTCGCGCTCTCCCTGCGGGCTGCGGGCGACCCTGCGCGCCCACCGCCGGCCCCGCGCTCGCCTCCGGCCTCCTCTCGCAGCCGCCGCCCGGCCGGGCACGGCGCGGCCCAGCACGGCGC